TATTCCCCCCACGACACCAATGATGGGAGACTATTCCTCCCACTGACACAATTGATGGGGCACTATTCCCCCCACGACACCAATGATGGGAGACTATTCCTCCCACTGACACAATTGATGGGGCACTATTCCCCCCACGACACCAATGATGGGAGACTATTCCTCCCACTGACACAATTGATGGGGCACTATTCCCCCCACGACACCAATGATGGGAGACTATTCCTCCCACTGACACAATTGATGGGGCACTATTCCCCCCACGACACCAATGATGGGAGACTATTCCTCCCACTGACACAATTGATGGGGCACTATTCCCCCCACGACACCAATGATGGGAGACTATTCCTCCCACTGACACAATTGATGGGGCACTATTCCCCCCACGACACCAATGATGGGAGACTATTCCTCCCACTGACACAATTGATGGGGCACTATTCCCCCCACGACACCAATGATGGGAGACTATTCCTCCCACTGACACAATTGATGGGGCACTATTCCCCCCACGACACCAATGATGGGAGACTATTCCTCCCACTGACACAATTGATGGGGCACTATTCCCCCCACGACACCAATGATGGGAGACTATTCCTCCCACTGAGACCAATGATGGGGCACTTTTCCTCCCACTGACACCAATGATGGGGCACTATTCCTCCCACGACACCAATGATGGGGCACCAATCCCAACGATGAGGCATTATTCCCCCCACTGACACCAGTGATTAGGTCACTATTCCTCCCACTGACACCAACAATGCAGCACTATTCCTCTCACTGACGATGGGGCACCATTCCTCCCCATGATGCCAACAATTGGGCACCATTGCTGCTGATCAGTTGCTTGATTACACTATCAGCCATGCGATTGGAACAGAATGCAGCACCCAGTGTCCAGCGGGGAGGAACATGCACCTATAGAGGGATGCCGGAGTGTTCTTTCATACAACACTCAGGCTCAGAGCTCAGCGTGGGGAATACTCGTGCATGTGTAGCGAGTGGAAACGCTGAAGATGGAGGATCAGCTTGAGTCACCACTCTGCATAAGGTAGTAGAGTGAAATGATGGAACCAGCCAGGTAGTTACTATTCCAGAATACAGAGATGAAAGAAATGTTGAGCACACAGTAATAGCAAATAATTTCAGAGCCAATGACACCAATTGTTGGGTTTACGGAAACTTTAAAATGTAACTCTAAGCAGAATTAAAGTTGTCACTATAACAGAAAAGCCGTCCACACACATCTGAGGAAAAAAACACAACTTTATTTCAATCCGCCTCATCACGGAGCGGGTACATGGCCGGGTACACTCACCCTGATGCCTGGAGTTATGGTCAGTGCAAGTAGCTGTGTGGTACAACCGGGTCACCAGCACCACAGCCAGCAGATAAAGCACATTTCACATCAATATTTAAGGACACTTCCCATTTCAAAGGCATACCACTTTTATTTTTCCCTTGAGTTCTGATGGAGCGCTCAGCTCTGGAGGTCTCATCTATAAAAAGGCAAAATACATTGCGAGCCAGAGAAGGAGGATGACGGCCGGAGTGCTGCCACTGAGAATCAATCACCAGTCGCCCCCCCCCGAGAATAGAATGGATGCCTTGCTGTGTCAGTGCTGGCTTGTCTTCCCAATCACTCAGGGACTCCAGCAGCAGGACAGCAGCAGAGTTCTCAGCTCCGCCCATCCGTTATCCCCAACCACGCCCCCTGCAGTAGCTGCTGTGAAGGGTTCTCATTCTCCCGGAGAGGAGTGAGACTGCAGGAAGAGCAAGACTCTGCTGCAAAGCAAGGAGCTCCAGGATGTCCGGAGTTCCCCAAAGCTAAAAAGGAGCAAGTAAATGATTTGGGGCCCCCCCAGCACCTTCTCACAATGGTTATACAGGTTACGGATGGACTACCCTGTAAAGAGGCCTCTGTCTCTCTACTCTGCCCATTAAGGCAATCTGACAAAGTCTCTTTAATGGGCTCAGCCGCAGGCATGACTCCCAGAGGCAGATGCATGATTGGATTTGTAGTTTCACCACAGCTGGAGGGCCAGTGTTTGCCTACCCCTGCTATAGGAGTTGTAGTAATAGTTGGACAAGGTATCTGGAATCTGGGTTGGCAGCTTCTCCGTGCCAAATGATTTCCACCATTTCCTTGATATACAAGTTGGGCAAATCGAAGATTGAAGAGCCGCAGTAGCAGGTATTGTCCAGATATAGATTGGTCTCTCATCGCCAACGCATTTCGGGGGTCAAAGGACACCGCCTTCATCTAGGCTCGCAGTGAAATAATATGGACAGGGCTAGATTCAAAGTAGATGGTAGTTAAACCTGGCGGGTATTGATGCACAAAGTCTGTCAACAGCTGGGTTGCACAAGCCCTGATGAAGGGGAGGGGCTCTTCTGACCCCCAAAAGACATTGGCTCTGGGATAACATCAATAATTAATACATATGTGGACAATCGACTCCCAGTGTGGTGCTTCAGTCTTAGATTTACTCCTCAACTGCCGGTCTGCACGCTCGATGTCAAATCTAGTGACGCTGAACAGGTTTTCGTGGCTTCACCAACCCAAGAGCTAGTATGCAGCCCGGAAGTCAGAGAACAGCTTCCACCACAGGCTTCTCACAAAAGGTAGCCGCCATTAAATTCTCTTTAGGTCAGTCAAAAATGAAAGTACCTCCACTGACAACAATATAAAACTTGCAGAACGAAAACACAGAAAAAAATAAGTGTCAACTGCGCCACCCACCTGAGGACCTCTAGCAGACCTCCGAAAAGATTTCACATGGTCACATCAGGAGCGGCGATGGGGTACTCTAATCCTAATCAACACACAGAGCCCTACATCAAAAGTGGTGCCTTCCGATCAGACGTCACCTCGGCCTTCTGATAAAGCGGACCTTCCACCTCAGTAGCAAGATCCGCTTATGACAGGTGCCAACCCCCACCAGGGATGCACCGATACCGATACTAGTATCGGTGCCGAGTATTTGGGCGAGTACTCGTACTCACCAAAATGCTCCGATGCCTAGCCCGATACTTGTGATGAGAGAGCATGGAGCCGGCTCAGGAAGCCAGGTGGCGTGTAATGACGCAAGTGCCAGGCTTTCTGATTGGTCAGGAAGCCGGCTTCATGCTCTCTCCTCACCTCATGACAAGGGAGCATGGAGCCGGCTTCCCAGCCAATCAGGAAGCCCGGCGCCGCGTCATTACACAGTGCATGGCTTCCCGATTGGCCAGAAAGCCGGCTCAGTGCTTTCTCGTCACCTAGGTGACGAGAAGCATGGGGAAGGCTTCCCTGCTAATCGGGAAGCCGGGTGGCGAGTCATTACACGCCGCCTGGCTTCCTGAATGGGACTTCCGGTACTCTGTATTCGGTATCGGCGAGTACCGAGAAAAAAAATATCAGTACTGGACACCGAAATACCGTTACCGGTGTAACGTTGCATAAAAATATGCATATAATCATTAGATATCATACTCACATTTCCCAACTTCTGGAGTCCAGGGGGTGACATCATCCTCCTGCCAACAAGATGGCGGCGAACATGAAGTAGCCTAAATCTCCATAGGAGACACTGAGCACAGTGCAGGATCATCTTCCCTCCAGATTTGGCCTTCTCAATTCACCGACATCTGGCCGGAAGGAGGGTGACGTCACTCTCACCCAGGCGCCCTGGGCGAAAGCCAGGAAAAGGTAAATATTATGATCTATGTCCACCCCATGGGTACTTTTATGCTGCATTATAGGGAGCGGGGGGGGGCAACATGGATAAGCGGGCCTTGCCACTGAGGTGGAGGGCGCACTTTAATAATCTCACATAAAGTATTTTTTTAACAAGAGCTTGCTTTGGAATTAAACAATGTGTGATAAGTCTTTTCTTTTTATTAATAGTATTACACAAAAACTGATAAATAGTATCTGGCAGACTTGCAGATAAGTTATGAAAATATCCCCCGACCCATGCGACTTCTCTTGTCCCGACGGCCCGGTATCGCGGTGTGCAGGGTAGGGGGGGGAGGAGGGGGGTGGTG